TGGGCGACGCCTAACACGTTTGTGAGATTCTATAATCTCCGTGTAGAGCCTGTGTCCTCTCGTGTACTCGCCTCAGGTAGGCAGTAACACTGGACCCGCTCGGTGTCGATCACGCTTGCTGCACCATTCCCCTCTAAGGACTTAAAATAATTGCGCTTTTCGGCTTCTCAGTTCAGTTCCCCATGGCGAACCCTGTTGGAGTTTCTCCCGCACCCTCAGCGGTCAGGCATGGCGGAGCGCCAGACGCCAGGCTCAGCACTCGTGTGCATGCCCTTGTGCTGGGCTAGGTGCCCGTGTGTAGTGATTCCCCCTTCGGGCGATCCCACATGTGTACTCTTCCACGGTACGGCTCCCCTCACGGTAAGCCTGTGTCTTTCCCTGGCAGTCGTTCTCTGCCATCTCTGTTGTGTAGTCGTCTCACCCCAGGCGGGTTGAGGCTACCGCAGGGACTTCCATATGTAGCACTGCCCTGGGCCAGTCCATATGTGTATTCCACATGATACCTCCTATGTGTAGGATGTGGCTTCCGTAGCGTTCCCAACTGGGTACGCTTCCCCAGTGTTATCCAATGTACCACTGTATGGAACAGCAGTGGCGGACACCTCTGCCTAGCCGCTGTCCTATCTTCCGCCCCAGCTTCAGTCACGACTTCAGGGAACGAGGGTTACACAAGTAACCAAGATATTCCCTGTGTAGGGAACGAGACACTGCGTCCTCTAGGGGTCGCTATGGGGAAGGCCTCGTCGTGACCCATGTCTGAAGCATACATTGAAAAACACCAACAACAAGTTGGCCGGCGACAGCCATGACATCACTACCGGTGCGACTATAGTATAAATAGGCGCCGGGAGAACACATCATCCACTTCTTCGTCTGAAGCTTGCGTCCGAAGCATGGCAAGAAACCTAGAGGATGCTGAGGTCCTCTAGGTGTCGCTATGGGGAACATTATACCCACCATGCTGAGGGGAGTGCAGGCGAGCACTAAGTACCAACTCTACCATATTGCCATGGGAGTTGCCCCTGGGATGTTAGACGACTGTCAGTGACATTATTCCCTATGGCCAAAGGCCTAGGCGTGGGTTTTAAACCACTCAGAAAGAGCACGAGGCTGCTGCGCGTAGCTCTTACCATACAGGATTTTAGAAAAGAACACAGAGTACTAGCGTGCGAACTTACCACAGTGTGGAGTTTATAAAGTGTACATTACCATAACATGGATTTTAAAAATATCGTTCTAAGGGGTTCTTGTGGCACTCTGAAAGAGCAGCCCATAGATGGAAATGGTGCATCCCAAAACGCTATCTTTGAGAAGTCATCAACTCGATCTAAGGCTTATAATGCTGGAGTGGCTAGCAGTAAATCTGTAGCTGAGGGAGCAAATATCCAGCTCTCAACCGAGAGGGAGCTCGACCTACAGCATGTTCCAATGGTGGAACAGCTAGCAGTTATTTAGCTGAGGGAGCAACACCCCCAGTTCTCAAACGAGAGGAGGCTCGACCTGCAGCATGTTCCAAAGCTGGAACAGCTAGCAATAATTTACTTAGCTGTGGGAGCAACACACCCAGTTCTCAGTCGAGAAGGGGGCTCAACCTATAGCATGTTCCAATGCTGGAACGGCTAGCAGTAATTTACCTTAGCTGAGGGAGCACAAACCCAGCTCTCATCGAGAGGGGGGCTCGACCTACAGCATGTTCCAATGGAGGAACAGCTAGCAGTTATTTAGCTGAGGGAGCAACACCCCCAGTTCTCAAACGAGAGGAGGCTCGACCTGCAGCATGTTCCAAAGCTGGAACAGCTAGCAATAATTTACTTAGCTGGGGGAGCAACACACCCAGTTCTCAGTCGAGAAGGGGGCTCAACCTATAGCATGTTCCAATGCTGGAACGGCTAGCAGTAATTTACCTTAGCTGAGGGAGCACAAACCCAGCTCTCATCGAGAGGGGGGCTCGACCTACAGTGCGATTGTAAGAATCAGAAGGGTAAGTGTACTGCAAGCTAGCCAAAAAAACTCAGTGCATCAGAGAGGCAAAGGAAGGGCCTAGTTCGCCTGATGCTGCTGGTTCCAGGTGCTCTGGGAAAAACAGAGAACTCAACTCTCACGTGAGAGGAGAACTCCGAATTCAGAAGGAGTAGCGTGCTCATAGGTAACCCTTTGATAAAAGGGGAGCACTGCTCAGCACTACCACGAGAACAGCCCACGGAGCGAGGAATCCAACTCCTCAGAGAGAATTAAACGCTCGAAAGAAAGCTCCATGCTCACAATAACCCACAATGGTGAGGGGAGCGATGCTTCCAGAGTGTGTCGACAGAGACACACTAGTTGAGTGAAGCCCAAGGTACCGGAGTCTAAACCAACTCAGAGAAAGGGAACGAGGCTAATAACGTGTAACCTTTACCATACAGGATTTCAGAAAAGTGGGCAAAGCATAACATGCACATTTACCACTTATGTGGATTTTAGAAAGTGGGCAAAGTATAACGTGCACACTTACCACCTATGTGGATTTTAGAAAGTGCGCAAAGCATAACGTGCACACTTACCACTTATGTGGATTTTTTAGAAAGTGCGCAAAGCGTAACGTGTGCACTTACGATAGTATGGATTTAAGAGTTTTCCAAGCATCTGCTCACAGATACCCAGAAGTACTGAGCCAAACGGGAGAGGCAAGCTCAAATACAACCCTCTAAGGTGAGGGGAGCACTGCCTGAGACAGCATTATACAAACAACCACCAGCGCATTAAATACAAACATATATAT